GTATATCATAACATCACCGGGTATCGTTGTCTACATACTTTACTGCATTGCCAATGGTAGAATAATTACTATCTTCTGAGTAAACTGAATTGATTTGTTTGTCTTTCTACCGACAAATAAATCAGCAGTATCATGCTGCCTGCTACGTCACCCTCATTTACCTAAAACTGAACTCTGTGCGTTTCCTTTAAAGAGGAACAATGACTTGGAAACCATGAGTCCTTTATGGCTAAACTGACGTCTAATACCAGTTAAAAGCGACTAATTACCTGGACTTAACAGGTCGTGTGTTCTGAAAAAGTAAATAAATACCGGAGATGCTCAGTTTTAATGGTGGTGTATGAATACGTCCTAAACCATGAAATTACGAGCCGCCCCTAAACGCAGCCTCGTAAAGTACACGCAGGAGGACTGTTGGCCGGCTAGCTGTTTCCAGCGTTAAAACATTATCGCGCCGTGGGGCTGATTATGAAACGAAAACAGCAGTTTACCCCACGTCACGCCGATGCTATTCAAAGACTCTTAATCTTACGCTGGTTTCTTACTGTTTTATAACTTGTAACGCGCCGTCCGTCGGGTTTTTCTTCTTAATTTCAGGAGGTGAAGTCTGTCACTTTATGTCTAACCTGGTTTCCCGGAAGTCCCGCCCCTTCAACCAATCAAATGTGAGGAATTTTTAACCCGCGCAGTGCCAAAGCGCAGTAGTTTTTAACGTATTTTACCCATTTTCTAAAAACGTATATGTATTTTTCTTTTAAATTTTATGTACTTATTTTGATCCATTTCATTTAGTTTTGCTTTTTACTTGTTTGATTATGGACGTGCTTATTTTATTTTAAATTTATACTTTATAATATGTGGTGAGAGGACTATTTTTTTATTTCTGGCTTTTGTCTTTTTATTTACAAAATCAGTGTTGTCACAGACTGTGTGTCAGAGACCACTGCCGTGGGTCAGTGACTCATAGAGTGCGGAATTTACATCCTGGGACTTTTTTGCCCTAAGCTGCTAATGTTACTCACTGAGCATTTAACGACACACCTTGACAAGTCATTTCCTCAGAAACTGCAAGCAAGTTTGAAATGCTTTGAAATCATTCAGGACACTGTTATTAAAGAAAATACATCACAGGCTGTACACTGAAATGTATCGGAATAAAATAGATAAACTCTCTTGAAAGGAATATGACAAAAATCAAATGAGGCAATTTAACTTGTGGATTTCTAACCTTGTTTCTATGGCTGTTTTTTATAAAATTAATGTCTGTAGTAACTATAATATGATAAATGCTTTTATAAATGAACTTGCAATCTGGTTGACAAATGTGTTTATTGCAACTACAAGATCTAAAGCCATTTGTTCTCCAATATAAATGGAACCTGGGTTACTATTAATCAGAGTAAATTTTAGTATTAAACTGTTTAAAAGGAAAATATGAAACAAATAACAGTTTAATGTGGAGCTTAGCCCTCAATAAAGTCAAAAGGTGGACTAGTTTGAGCTTCTGCCTTCTTCCTAGATGTTAAGTAGGAATTTGGATCTTGAAATAACATAATAATTTCCAAGTCAGAAAACCAGTAAGATTTATCAATTGTTGGCTTCAGTTCAAATGATCTCTGTCAGTTTTGTATGTATATTTTCGCTAAAGTTCTTTAAAACTTAAAAAAAAAAAGTCATCTGTGGATTGAAACTGTGGCATGAGTTTATTTTTCATTGAAATAATGAGCTAAATGCCAACCAAGAGCTTAAATCTTACTTATTTTAACTTAAACTTAAAAATATCGTACCATCCATTTTCTTGTTGGATCTGAATCCACTGATCAAATGAGACATCAGAACTGCAAAATATTCCAGTACTAAAGTGGAGTAATGATCATCAAGAACCATCAATTAACCAACTGACATTACAAGCTAACAGCAATGCAGGTATCTGCACTTTTTTTACACTAAAACACGAAGAGGAAAAATATGCACAAAAAAGGGTTTTTTTGTGCATATTTGTGAAAATTATTTAATGTAATAAAAACCACCAGAATTAAAAATTGTGTAACTATTGCAAATATTTTAGCCATATTGTATTTGTGGCGTTTAGGGTTAAGAGGAGACTTCTATATTTTGATCTTTAAATTCTGACTTTAAGGGGACCTTTCTGCACATTTTTCCAAATTTAATCTTAAAATGTAAATCTAAATAATTAAACTACATTATTAAGCTAGTGCCTAAAAAGTTTTTTTTCTTCTTGCTTCATTTTAATTTCACAGAAGTCATGTTTGATCTGCTACTATACTTTTTAAAAGTATGAGATCTGGTGATCTAAAGTATTACTGATGCTAAATATTCATTCAGTCACTGGGTAGACTGGGTTATGTGCTCACTGGACTGGTCTATCACATTCAGGCATTGTCTCCGTAAGTAAATGACTCTCCAGATGGGGAAAAGTCAGAGCAATGGAGCGTTAAACACTGTGATTACCTGTGATTTTTGCCAGTGTTGAAAACACTACAGTTCTCCATGCTGACGGACAACAAACTGGTTGAACGTGTGTGAGTCTTTGTGTGTGTGTGTGTGTGTGTGTGTGTCGTGTCAAACTGGGGGTGTGCTCAGCTGCGTGAAAATGAGAGGAAAATCTAACATTCTCCATCTCGTACCCTCCCATATACCTTTACTCGCTGCTGGAGGCTCCTTAAAAGGTGCTGCCAGTAGTGTCTGTCTGCCTTATCATCACTGTCTTGGCAGGAGGAAATTATACCCAGCTGTTAGAGACAGAGAGACTGCAGTCAGAGGAGTTAAACATCTCTGAGGACAGAACATCTTTACAGAAACGCAGTGGTAGCCTCTATTAGGATGAAATTACTCATGGAAAGCCTTCAAATCAAGAAGCTGCTGTGCGTAAACATCTTGGCGCTGCTCGTCCGGGAGGTTGCTCTGTCAAGCATCCTGACCACACCGTCCAGAGGATGTCCAACCTGCACAGGAAAGCCTGTGGATTTGAATGTGGCCTCTCTGGCTCCTGGGGAGCCGTGCGGCGTCTACACTCTGAGCTGTGCCCCAGGTCTGCGCTGTGAGCCTCCACAGGATGAGCCGAGACCCCTGCGTGCCCTGCTGGAGGGCAGAGGAGTCTGCTGCAATGTCAGCAGCACCACACCGACTACGCAGGTCTACCCTGCAGGTAAGGCACACAGAGCTGCTGTATTAATGACTGTTTCTAACTCATCTGTCGACTGGACCCTATACAGCTCTCCTTCAGCGTCATTTCAAATGTTAGGGATTTTTTTATTTTTTGCTGGGAGTTATGTGCTTTGTGAGGTAAAAAGTGTTTTATTAGTCTGAAACTCTGTGCACACCATCAGCTGATGGTGTTTCAGAAAGAGTTGCTGCAGGGCTGAGTGGATGAATGAGTAACTTTGGTTTAGTGGTGTTGGCAAATTACCAGTTTACTTTGGAAGTGATTGGAGAGCATTTTAGGCAGGAATACAATTTCTGTATTGAATGGTCAGAAAATAATCTCATTGTAACTTTTCATTACTTTCCCACAGATGTGGATTTTATCAATCTGACTGCTTTTCGTTAAACGTGGAACAAAAGGATGCGCAACAGCTACTTGAAAAATGTCCTTTTGCAACTTTAGCAAAGTAAATAATGTGTGTCGTATTTCCGTTTGTCTGATCTTAGAATCGGCGCCAACTGAGGAGCCCAGTGAGGTAAAAATGATCTCTCTCTGTTTCAGCAAACTGCAGACTGTGTGTCATACACTGTTAACACTGCATATGTCCGTCTCTTCCTGCAGGCTCCCTGCCGCAAACTTTTAATGAAAGTCATCCAAGATCTTGACGCCCATTTATTTAAGTCCCGTCATGATATCTACATACCCAACTGTGATAAAAGTGGTTTCTACAAAAGGAAGCAGGTAGGACTCTAAATAAAGAAAAATCATGTAAGAAAATTCAAGTTTCATTCCACGTATTTAAACTAATGATATTTAGTTTGTGTTAGACAGACCACACAGGCCTTATTGTACTTGGTTGACTCACCTGAAAAGAAAATATCTGGCCAGGTGGATGTTTTGTGACGGTTAAGAGAAAAGTCAGAAAAATGTGGATTAATGGCAATAGAAAGTAAAACTGAAGTTGTGTGTTTTCCTACCCCTCCGATGTCCCTGGAGATTTTTTTTTTTTTTGTATAGTTTTGGCTAAATTGATGCTAATGGCTAAACATTTAGCCATGTTGTATATTTTGAGGTGAAGTTCCATTCTTATCTTTTTTTTTCTTTCAGTCGTTTTCATGACTGCTAAACAAAATAAAAATAATCTTTGCCCCATTTTAAATACGCTATCACTGCATCTTGATTAAATCATAATGTTGCCACGTTTAGATCTGCATTTTTCTGGATGTGCAAGGGAACTATGTGAAAATAAAATAAAAAACTTTACTAAAGAAATAGAGTTGATTAAAATTAATATTGCTTACAATTCCAGCGCTGAATGTCACATACCACCTACCATGGCAAGAACTGAACTCAATCATGCCATTAATTAAATTTGTTTTATATATATATATATATATTTATGATGAAAGAGCAATTTTGTGTCTATGAGTCACAAGTGGAGCAAGAAAAAAAATGAGCGACTTGCCCTCCTCCCACTTTCTTATTATGTAGCTCAAAAACAGTCACTTCCTGTACAACCTGCCTCAAACCAATTCTACATTTTTATTTTAGATGGACTTATCTTTGCATAAAAAGTCTTAAGTCAGTGATTTGTATGCAGTCATACACATATTCCTTTTCATAAGATTTTGTGTTCTTTATTGTCAGTCATCAGGCAGAAATTGGTAGAGAAGAAGGGAAGATATACAGCAAAGGTTTCAGGGTCACGACCTGAAGCCCAGACTGAACTCCAGCTTATAGCCTCTGCAGCTAAAACCATGTGGTGCTGCAATATATACACTTCTTTTTAAAGCCTTTAAATCTTCTAGTGTGAAACGTGATTCCTCTGACATTAGTGACATTGTGGTTCAACTCCATTTCCCAGATATATTATTTTGAAATAATATCAGGCTTTAAAGATTGAACGAAGTCCCACAGAAACAAGGCGTTTTTGATTAAGCTCCGATTTCTGCTCATTTGCTTTTTGCGTGCAGTGCTGGTCGTCTCTGGGGAAGCAGCGTGGGAAGTGCTGGTGTGTGGACGAGAACGGCCTCTCCGTCCCGCCGAAGACTAAACGACAGGGCAACGTGAATTGCTGAGGAGCAGGAAAGGCGACACAGATGAAGGAGCATCGGACTAAAACCTGAACTCGCCGTTTCATATGTTTCATTTCTACCAGATGAAAGCAGATCTTCCTCCCCGAGGAGCTGCGCAGTGATCAAACTTTGTCTCCTGACGCCCTCTGCTGAATACACTCGGATTGTGCTGATTTGATTCTGTCACATTCAATGGAAATCGGACTGCAGCTAAAAATAATCCAGCTAAAATTATATACAGAATGAAAGCATGTCAATTATGAACCGAGTGACTTTAACACTTTTTTAAGCAAACTTCAAGAAATCAGTTACATAACATTCACAAGCTAGCAATGGGAAATTACAAACTCTTTTACGATTGTGTTCAGGTTCTGTGATATTTACATATTTTCAGTATGCTTTCCTTCGAAACCACTCTGTTTTGAAAGTACCTGCTGCATATAAAACATGTCGCCGTATTTATGTTACTGTATATACGTCTATTTATGTTAAATTGTTCATTATGTTAGTGTTACATATAAAAGCGAACACTAGGAGTCCTTTGAGGGAACTTAGGAATCTGAATGTTTTTTTATTTATAACATCGGTGACGTTTAATATTGGTGATGACGACTGATGATTTTAGGCAGTATTACAATAATGTCCTTGACAAACTGCTTTTTGTGTAAAGTATTGCGAAGTAAAATATTGTAAAAAAAAAAAAAAAGTTCTTTCTTTTCTGTATAAACAAATGGACTCATGATCAAGAAGTCAACCAGCTGCCTGAAAATGCAGCTTTAGGCTTCTTGTGTTTCCTGAAGCAATTCTTGCAGCTTTACAATTGGCTGCAATAAAATTGACGATTTTATTTCTTTACAAATGATAGTCATATCTTTTGAGTCAGCGTCTTGTATTGGACTTTAACATATGGGGAAGTGTTATCTGTCCTTTCTAAGAAGAGCCAGAACACTTATTGATAACATCTGAGGCTATGAGATGATTTAAATAAACATGTACTGATGAGAAGGAGATTAAGTAAAAGAAAGTACTGAATACCTTTCAGAAGATAATAAAAATATTAAAACATCAATATCTAATGATAGAGTTTTGAACCACAATTCAAAAGAATTCATCTGACGTATATTTGATGTATTCAAAACCATGTATCAATTCATATAAGTAATATCTAGACTGAGCATAATATCATCCTACTCTGGTTCATCATTTGCATAAACCAGATTAAAAAAAAGAGCAATTGATAAGCTGAGAAGAGTAACGCATTATAAGAGGAAGTACAAGAGAAAAAAAACCCCTCAGATTAGTTCTTCATTAGATTTAAAACAGTTCAATGTCAGCATCATAGCAGAAAGATTAAGGTTAAGATGGTGACAAAGATGAAGTCAGTTAATCCCAGTAATTCCAGTTAAACATTATCATGGCTCTGTTGAAAAATGCTAAAAATATGTAAAAAGTGTCAACACAACCAGAGGTTATAGTATGGAGCCACATTACTCAGTTCTGCAGCACAAACTCTGTTATTATTATTTAACATTTGTAGTAGCTGTAGTAGTAGTAGCAGTAGTTGTTGAATATTGGCTCTCTCACCGTCACCCAAATATAGTTATATAAATATTTTATATATTTAAAAAATAAATATATTCAGTTTCAGTTTCATAAAAACTGAAACCACTCTTGAGATGTTTGCTATCAAACTTTTTTTGGTCACTAAAAAAAGTCAATAATTAGTCATTTAGTAAATTTAAATGTATTAATTTAAAACTTAAATGCACATCTACATTTAATATTTCTTAAAGGGTAACCTCAGGTGCTTTATTTTTAAATGACTTCCAAATGGCGGTAGAGTGCTAGTACTGGGGGCTGGGTGGGCCCCGGTGCTTCCTGTTCCTCACTGCGCCTCTGCTCAGGCCCATGTCTCTGTAAAATAAACAGGTTAAATTACCTCACTGCGGTCGTCTGTTAAGGTTACTGCCATACTAATACTACAAGGCGCACATTCATGAGATAAATACAACACCCACATAAATCTAGTTAATGTTTAATTACATTGATTGCAGTATATACCGTCCCTGAGCTGCGCTCTTGTTTCACTCTCTGTTACTGGACCGCACAGAACCACTGAGCTAAAAGCCTCAGCTGCTGCTGCTGAGACTCCACAGGCGGACTTTAACTCCAGCCTGCTTTACATACACACAGGACTCGACAGGAGCAACAGCAAAGCCTCCTCACTCAGACCGAGGCACAGATAACCTGAGACAGCGCGATGTCTTCCCCCACTGCCGCCTCCTCCTCCTCCTCCTCCGTCCCCCCGGGCCCTCTGAAGCCCAAAAGGAAGACGAAGAAGAAGAACTTCGTGCAGCAGAAGGTGAAAGTCTTCCGAGCCAGCGACCCGGTGCTGAGCGTCCTGGTGTGGGGAGTCAATCACTCGGTATTCTAGCGAGCGAGCTTTGCGTTGAACGGCGATCGGTTTATGTGGCGCTCATTAACATTTCGCCCATTGATCATGCGCAGATTAATGACCTGGGCCAGGTGCCTGTACCTGTCATGCTGCTCCCGGACGACTTCAAAGCCAGCACGAAGATCAAAGTGATGAACCACTGCTTCAACAAGTAATGTGCTCTGCTCTCTTTGTGGGAACTCTCGCCCTGCTTCCTCTACGGCTGCACAGATTTTACATCCATTTATGTTTTTTGTGTTTGTCATTAAGAGAGACACAAGACTTTCCAACTAGTATTAAAAGTATACGTTTCATACTACTGCAGTGAGAGCTTTTAACAATTGAAGTGTAGCAATAATAGTGAAACAAACATGCTACGGTTTATTTGTGGAGCTGAGTTAAAAAGAAAGGGACGGTTTAGCCTTAAAACGTGAGGCAAAACTATTAAATGAGGGATTTGTTCGAACATTGTAAAGTTGTGCTGTAAAGCTGTAACCATTAAAAGATTACTTTTCAAACTTATTGTGTAAAAACCGAGTGGCCTTTCAATAATCCCTTAATCCGTTCAGGAATCCAGACGTCAATAACAGAGGTAGAATGAGTGAGTTCACAAAAAACAAAAGGACTTGGGATTTTTTACTGTAGTGACATCCAGCAGTTCTTATGCGACTTTAGAAAAGAAACAAGAAGCGCGTCCCCTCAGAATGATGCTTCCACCACCATGCCACTGTGTTAGCTTTCCAGTACACTTGCACACTTGCATGTTGTCCGAAATGAGATTTTTAAATCTCAGAGCAGCGTCCTCCACACCTCTGTCATGACTTATGGCAAACTTTAAAGTTGTCGAGTTGTTTTTGTTGAGTTGTTGTTGAGCAACTCCAACTCTGTGTCCTGGATGAACATGCACACGCTCATAAGGACTTAGGATTTGATTGAGTTTTTTTGCTCTGGTTCTAATGTCCTAGTTAATCTTTGCATTTTGTTTTGTTACTGCTTATATTTCTTTAATTCTTACAATGCCATTTTGACTTCCATTTTATTTTCTCTTGCCTCCTGTGCCACTGCCGTAGTGACGTTATATCCTGATCCTTGCTTCAGTGATCACCTCCTCTGTATTCCAAGTTCCCCTTCAGTCCTTTGTCAGATCCTTCTCACAGTTTCTCTTGTTCTTTATATTTTCCTTGCTCGTTACTCCTGGTTGCTTCTCCTTCATCATTCCCTCTATGACTTTCTGTCTTCGTTAATCATACTCAGCTATAAACCGTAACAAAGCACCCCACAGCAAGATCACCACCATGTTGTGTTCAGTGTAATGTGCAGCGTTATTTGTTTTTATCTTGCCTGTGAGCCAAAAGGTTAAATTTGGTTTCATTTGACCAGAGGAACATCTTGGAAATATTTTCTTTTCTGCCGTCAAGGTCAGATTTGTGGAACGGTTTTTCCTGACCTGAGTTATGGATCTCTGCAGCTCCTCCAGAGCTGTCAGAGGAGCATAACGCTCCCTTCGTCTGGCCTGTGAGTTTAGGCGGACAGCCTCATCTTGATGAGTGTGCTGTACTCTTTCCATTTTCAGATGGTGGATTTTTACAGTAAAACACAATCTGCTTTTGTTAAAGTTCAGCTTGGAAACCGACTGAGCAAAAACCGAGTAACTGTTTGGTAATCCCATAATCCGTCCAGGAATGCAGTTCTTTTAGAGACTTCAATAACAGAGGTGGGGTGAGGAACAACAAATGTTTTCTCAGACTGAAAGGTTGTTACTTTAACTTTATTTACTGATGTGAATCTGTGTGCGTGTGTGTTTTTTTTTTAATGTGACCTGGTGTGGAAACAGGAAAACAGCGAGAACTTGAAAATAATGAAAGTGGACACCATCGATAAACTCTGACAGACTGTGGTGAACAGTGGCTCACCGTCCTGCTTGATCAAACTGCTTTTATTCCCAGGGAGAATCTTCCGGGCCAGTTTAAATTCAAAGAGTACTGCCCACAGGTGTTCAGGAACCTGCGAGAGCGCTTTGGCATCGAGGACCAAGATTACCAGGTATGAACCCAACATTACTCAGGGCACAAATACGTGGATGAAGAACAAACCGTGTAATTTGAACAATGCTGAAACAGATCCTCGCACGTCTTTCAGCGTCCTCCTTTTGTGGCAGCTTTTTGTGGACGTCCTCCATTTGCATGGCTCTGTGCCTTATTTGCATGTGCCAGGTGGCTCACCGAGTTATCCTTCAGAGCACACAGGGAGCATTAGATTAGCGCACGACAATGGGCAACATTTTGTACTAGCAGAGCAAAATCTGCCAGTTAAGTTTACTCAAGAAAAACAAAATGGCGTCTCTGTGTGAAACAGTGACACAGGATGTCTGTGCAAAATGTTCTGTTTTTCTGTTTGGATTGCTTTTTGAATTTGCAATCTAATTCAGGAGAAATGATGTGTCGATGACGATGTTCGTCCTGCTGGCTGACCTCTTTCTCCCTCAGGTCTCTCTGACCCGCAGTTCTCCTCTGAGAGACGAGGAGGGGAAGTACATGGGGCTGCGACTCACATCATACGACCGCACTTTGGTGGTAAAAGAGATTTCCAGTGAGGAGGTCGAGGAAATGCACAGCATCCTGTCAGAGTATCATCAGGTACTGGCAAAAGCATGAGTTGTTTACCTTTTTCATCATTTGTTCTGGAAGATAACCTAGAACTTTTTTATGTTTTGGTCTCGTTAAATCGCAAAATTTGTACGTATTTTATGCGACAGGCTGCCTTTGCTGCAAATGAAATCCAGTAGAATCAATTGACGTTAAAATTAATTTAATAACTAAATTATTATCTTGTGTAAAATGCACAAGTCTCTCAGTATAAATCCAGCTGTACTGGATGGTTTTCTGGAAACACGAGAAAGAAAACTCAGATTTGACGCTCTGGTATACGTGCAAAATGCCAAGTGGACAAAAGCAGCAATTCCCATCACTTTGAACTCAACGTCCCTGTGGTGAAACACAGTGGTGGTGGTGGTGGTGGCAGCATCATGATGTGGGAATGCTTTCTTCAGCAGGGAAAGAGAAGCTAATCCAACTGGATAAGAAACCTGGAAGAAAACTTGAGGTTTCCCTTCCAGCAGGACAATGACTCTAAAATTACAGTCCAAGCTAATTAAAACAGAATAAATACAAAAGCATGCCACACTTCTCAGATTTTTATGAGGCAAAAGTTTGAAACTCTAATCTCTTTATATTCATTAAACATCTACTTTTTTGCTAGTAAATCCCCCACAGAACAATTACAAATTATAAAATGATAAAATGTGGAAATGTACGAAGACCTTTGCATGACACTGACGTTCCTAATATGTAGATAATTTTACATTTTAAATCACATTTAAGATAGTAGTTGTCTTTAACTTTGAGCTGTTTCTGTTTGAAGAAGAGAATCTCACCCTTCAATATCCCTCATTTCCTTGGCAAAGACTTAACATCAAAGCTAAGAGACGAGTGATTGTTTTCCTTCCCAAACTGTTTTTTCTTTTTTTTTTTGAAAGCATCAGCATTAATTTAACACATCAGTTACGGAAAGAGGCACATGGAGACAGAGACGAAAGCTTTCCTCCTGTATCTGTGATGTGTGTCCTTTGCTCTCCGTCCTCCTGCAGCATATTGTCACCTCCCATGGCAGCACGCTGCTTCCTCAGTTCCTCGCCATGTACAGAGTGACGGTGGAGAGCGAGGACACCTACCTGTTAGTGATGAGGAACATGTTCAGCCACAGGCTGCCGGTACACAGGAAGTACGACCTGAAGGTGAGGGAGGATTCAGAGGTCGGCCAGGACAGCATAAATCACACTCTGCAAACCTGCACTATAATCAAGGAAAAGTTTATTTCTGTTCCAGTAATGTAACGACTAGCCAATAAGAAAGTACCATAATCATTTTGACCATTTTGTATTCAATAAGTCCAATACTGTGATAACTTTTCCGTTTAAAACCAAACAGCATAAAATTGTGAGTATAAACAGTTTTTTAAATACAGCTTTCCTACCGTAAATAACCACCTTTTTATTAAAAAAAAAAATTACAGTGAACGTTTTCACCGTGAAAAGCTTTCAAAGGTGTTCACCTGCATCAGCTGCCTGTGCAAATTTATATCAATTTGAGTTCAAATGAGCCACAGACACTCCAGCTAATTTCTTTTTTCCATTTTTCCGTGTTCAGGGCTCCGCGCTGACTCGAGAAGCAAGTTTTAAAGAAAAGGTGAGATCAGACTAAAGCTGTGCAGTCTTTATATGTGCAGTGTATATGTTAGTAATACTGAGTAAAAAAAAAAACCCTTAAAACAAACTTGTCTCTCACTGTAATAATAACTTTATGGCAATCCAGCTTTTAATTTGAGCAGATGTGATAGTGATAAAAAGACATTACAAAATAATTGTTTTCTACTAAATTGCTGGTGAAACTTATTGACATCTGACTTGGTTCAGTTTATTCACAACAGGAAATTGAGCTTCTTATGTTTCTGAATGTGGCAAGCATGTAAACATCGCCTCTTGGTTGCTATGGAGACCCCCGATTTGGGTTTGTGTGACATCGTTTGTTTATCGCTCTGGCTACCGTAGCTATTTCTCGACTTATGACTTATGAACACACATCTTTAATTCCATGTTCTCTTGTTGTTCCCATTTTGAAGAGTGACGAAGAGAAACAGACCGAAGTGTCCCGTTGTTTCCTTCATGCCACAGGGAAAAAGGAAATCATGGCAAGAAACCTGATAGATCTATTAGGAATAAATTAACAAATAAATGCTACGTTAAACTTACAGAATTGTTAAAGATGCTAAATTCAATTTAAGGTTGTATTGTTTTTAAAAAAAAATTATTTTAAGTGTGAGTTTGGGCTATTGCAATATATGCTGATGTGTTGGTTGCAGTACGTTTACTGAAGAAATGCAGTCAGAACTGTTTGATTTATGCATTCAAAACAAGAATTGGTCAGTGACAGATGAAGGATTATCCATGGCCAGTTGAAAATATGAAAAATCTGTTTGTTTTTTTAATGTGCCACTTTAGCCATAGCTACTGGTACACTGCTGTTGTGAACACCAAATGCACAAAAACCTTGTGTCACCTTTGCCAAACAAAACGTGGAGCACGACACTGTTTGTTCAGGTCAAAGAGCTGCCCACATACAAGGACGCAGACTTCTTGAATAGCATGCAGAAGATATACGTGAGCGATGAGGAGAAAGAGAAGGTGATGAACAAACTCGGCAGAGACATCGAGGTGAGGAAGTAATGCTCCTAGTGTCTGGGATTTGCTGTCTTTTTAAAGGTTTCTGTCGCTGAAGTTCCCCCCCGTTTCAGTTTCTCGTGCGCATGAGGATCATGGACTACAGCCTGCTGCTGGGCATCCATGACGCCGAGCGAGCTGAGAGAGAGGAGGAGGACGACGTGGAGTCGTCCTGTGAGGAGGAAGAGGAGGACGAAAACGACCCGACTGCTCCTCCATGCTCCACTTCCCCTGAAGGAATCGCCGGCTACATGAGCTCGCTCAAGCCCATGGGTCCCGGGGAGTTCGACCCTTACGTGGACGTGTACGCCGTTCAGAGCGCCGTGGGTGAGTGGCACCTGAGCGTCACCTCACGCAGAGCTGCAAATGGCGAGCGCTCGCCCTGCACTTTGGCATCAATGTCACTCAACAGACGCCGTGAACCGTTCCCTCGTAGGTGCTCCCAGGAGGGAGGTGTACTTCATGGGTCTGATTGATGTGCTGACGCAGTATGATGCCAAGAAGAAAGCCGCTCACGCTGCCAGGGCTGTCAAGCACGGGGTGAGAGAGCGTTGCTCTTAAAAGCGACTGCTTAGCGTGGGGACGCAACACGTCTCCGGCGTGAAGGGTGGCTTTCATCCTCTGCTTCCTTGTTTTTCAGTCAGCCGTGCTTCTCTTTGTGCTTTGCAGGCGGGAGCTGAAATCACAACGGTTCATCCCGAGCAGTACGCCAAACGCTTCAAGGAGTTCATCGCGAAGATCTTTGCCTAGTTCAAGGATTGATCGTCTTTTGATGCCAAGCATAGCTGCACAACACCCACAAGAAACACTAAATATTTAAAGATTAAAAAATATATATAAATATGCAGAAGTATTTATGTTTATTAAACTTATTTAAAAATGTGCTCATATCAATCTGGAGCATAGTTCTGGCCTCAGACGTGCCAAACTCTTCCTATTTTCAGATGATGGACTGCACAGTCTCTCTGAAGGCTTATTTTACGCTGAGCTTCTTCAACGAGGTTTAATCTTTCAGGCAAAGGCAGCCGGAGGCAATTAACAATTTGGCTATCCTAAATGGACTTTTATTAAAAGGCAAAGCAAATCCAACCTGCTGGAGAGGAAACTCCTGAATCCAGCAGTTTGCACTTACCTAAAGCAGAAACGACACGACTTTGAAGACCAAGATGTCTGTGTTTTGGACAGAGAAGACGGGTCGTTTTAAACAGGTCGACGTGACCAGCATTTCACTCTCCCTCACAGGGAGGGAGGAAAATTATTTTCTCTGGTTGCATCCAGGGAGTAAAACCTGTTGGTCATGTGACCTCTCCTAACAAAGTCCTGTGACTTACTTTTCTGTGTTAAATGTCAGAGATATTTCTGGTTTGCACTCATTGCAAGCTGAGAGAGATGCTGGATTTAAAAAAAAAAAAAAAAAAGAAGAAGAAGAAACATTTTGTGCCTTTTTTGAAGTTTTTTTTTTAAATGTCCAGCGTTTACAGGTTAAACCTTTGTGAGTTCTGCGGGATGTTCGGAAGTTGAGATATGGATTTAAAACCTGACCCTGCTTTGGTTGATAATGTTCCACAAACCTCTGAGGCCTTTGTTGAATGAAATGGATTTATTCTGAGATTAAATGACGTACAATGAGATTCTGTTTATTTCTGAAACCATTGGATTTATTCAGAGGTTTCTGATTAAACATGGCTCAATGTTTGTTTTTGAGCCGTCTTTCTTTTTCATTCATGCAACTATGAACTACTTTGAGTTGGTCAGTCACATGAAATCTGAACAAGCAGGTTTAGATTATGGATGTAGCAATACAGTATGTCATGTGCTAATTTTGAGCCTTCATCATTTTACCAACGACTTAACGGTGATGTTTGCATTCTCAGTTGGTCGTCGGGGTCTGAAACAAAAACAGAAATACATACTTTACTCCACTATGAAGTTTGACATTTCCTATGACATTTTTCACTTTACACAAAATGTTCTCTTGATTTTATAGCCTTTTTTTTAACCCTATTTGCCTAAAAGTCAGCCAACGATGAAAAGAAAATGTTTGTTTTTTTCTTCATTTGAAAATACAGAATGAAATTGTATGGCAAGACGTAAGTGACAACAAAAATGGTTAACTTGGGTTTTATCATATTTATCCCAGCTGTGCCTTGCATTTTAATCCCCTCTTATCACCTGCAGCTTTACACTGAAAAGGCTCCTGACTCTATTTTGTTTATAGATTTTTAACATCTTGAATCTCAGGAAAATATGAAAGAGTTTTAATAAAAGAAACTCAAAGTAAATCTCTTTGGGAGCAAAAATCTGCATCCTTAGACTTTATTTTAGAAAACCTTCAGTGAATAAAAATGTTAATAAATGTGTCACAGTTCGGCCGATAACTGACACATACAGTCTTCGTGTTTTGTTTTTTTTCTTTACATCTTACCATTAAAGGGGTTTTTAATAGAGCAGGTGTTCCTCTTCTTATTAGCATTGACAATAACGTAAATTGAGGCAAATTCAGTGATGTGACAAATTCATTTGTTTCTCCATTTTCAGCTCCACTTTGTGGGAATATCGGCATTGGTTGTGATATGAAAAGACTCCATTATGAACATGATAAAATGTTCTGACTGACCTCTTCGACACAACTAATTAAAATGTTTCAGCTTTTCCTGTTAAAAGCTAATTAAAATTGCAAATGAGGCGAGAAAAACAGGCTGTGTTATTTCTGTCCTTAATTCATTTCACCTCGCCAGTTGGCTACATTTTGCCAGGCGTTTCATTATTGCACTTTTCAGTAATATAATGAAAGCGTGGCTCGGCGTTCAGGCAGCGCGCTGCCACGTTTGTAACACCAAGTCACAACCAGACACTCGAGCTTCTTTTATTGGGATTTTATGTAATAAAACACAAGCAACACATGATTTTAAAGAGAAAAATAAAGTGTAGAAATAAAAGCTGAAAAGTGTAGTTTGTGTGTTTGTATTCAGCTTTTCTGCGTCACAACCTTTTGCTGCAAGGACATCCGGCAATCTGTCTGTGATACATTGTTTTACAAACAAAAATAACTAATAAAATCACCCAAGAAAACCAGAGAATGTTTTCAGTGTTTGTCTTTCAGGTGTACATAGTATTTTGAATTAAGAAAAATAATCAGTTTTGGTCATAAATCTATTATGTCTTCTGGCTTTATTTCAACAGAGGTATTTTTCTTATCACTCTCCTATAAAGCTGTATAAAACAAATATTAAGTCCTACCAACAGATTTTTTACTACTGATCAGTGGTTGTGCTCTAACCAAATACAGGGAAGCCATTGTTCTTGATTTTAAATAGGGACATCAGAGAACTTTATAAAAAAAAAAAAAAAGAAAAGGAAGAAAAAAGTAAAATTCATGAGTTATTATTCTTCCACTTTATGCTGGACCTTCATATAAAAACCGTAATAAAACACACTGATACTTGTATCATGTCAAAAAATTTATTTTTTCTGTTGGAGGAAATATCTGCATCCAGTGGCTTTTAATGCACAAACCCAACTGCTAAACATTGGGGGTTTTTTTAGCTTAGATTTATACACAATTAGTTACTACATTTATTACTTGACCACATGATGTTAAGATGCACTAGAAGTGACTCAAATTTCTAGTTGTCCCTTTGAAACTGAATCTCTGTGATGAAGCATTCATTCTTTTGTCTTTATTTAGGCCCTCTCGCATCCCAGAGCTCCTGGCACACATCCTGATGCTCCTGCTTCACATGGACAATTCAAAACACAGAAAGGACATGAAGGTTAAGAACAAGTGGCTTGAATTTTTCAATTTCTGCCTTAGCTACACGTCCCAAAGCTGCAGCAACAAGCTCTGAAAGCCTACGCACATCCAATTTTCTCCCCCCACGTAAATGGATTCAAACCACTGAAAAATTAAAACTCTGTAGCCTCAGCAGCTCGGTATTGTTCAGCGATCCGACATTCTTCAAGGACACACTTTTTAATTGGTTATAAACCCATCAGTTCTGACCTCAGTGTTGATGATTCACTTTTCTTTGCACATTTTCTTTGTTCCTTTTGAATGTGGGAGTGCTTTGAGGCAAACAACCTTGAGAGATCTTGATTCAATGAGCTCGTGCACAAAATAACCAAAAAGAAGCTCAGAACAAACGAGGTGTTTTATGCCCACACCTCCATCATCCGTCTCATTTATCCATCAGATATAAAGAAAGGCATTTCCACTTGAATTTTAAGAAATCAAGCTTAAAGTCAAGATTCCTGGCCGTCTTTACTCAAGTGTGCAGAACTTGAGTAAATTTACTGTATAAGAGAAAGTAATGCTGGCTGCACACAGGTTGGTTAAAGAGTTAAACACCATGCATCATGATGAACATTAATGCATGTTGGCGTAAAAGCTGAAGGTGATTGGCTATTAGAGTCTAAATACTGGAGTGCTTTTCCAGAATATTAACTAAACTTGCAGAGGAAACTATAGGCTCATCAATCATAGTTAAATATTTGTTTAAAATCATAATAAAACACGAACTTACAAACTAGCAGGACGACACACAGAGCAGGAACAGACAGAGACTAGTTAATGGGGTTAAACAGGATATAACAGGAGGATCCAGCAAGGAGTGACCAAAGGAGAGGTGGTAAAATACTGGCAGTTTTAAATGCTGGGACAATGGACCAGTGCTAACTGGAAAACAAGGTGCAGGTGTGAGAGGAGAGCAAAGTGCAAGGTGAGGAGAGAAACAGAGAGAGAAATGGCAGAGGAGAGCAAAAAAAAAAATCTAGCCAAATCTAGCTGTGACAAAAGCTATTATAAGTAATAAACATAATCTAACTAAACTAAGAGTAAAACAGAACCAACTGATGCAATCAAAGAACGAACATCTAAGGCAAACGCAGATGGCAAATAAAAACAAAAAACAAAATCCTGACAGAAACATGGTGGTGGCAGCGTCATGGTGTGGGGGTGCAGGGAAGCTTATCAGATTTGATGCCAAGGAGAAAAACCTGCAAAACGCAGCAGAAAGACTCGAGACTGGAGACAATGACCCGAAACAACATGGCTTGCAGCTGCAAGTACACTGAAAGGCAGTTCTATAAAATACTGACGTTCAGGGACCGGTGCGCATCCTTTTCGATTGCACTGGACCAGCAGCTTCCAGGATAAGCAGGCTCAGATGACGGACGCATCCTTTTCCTTCCATGTCACACGTAAGCGCTAGTTTTGTGTTACATCAGACGAAATACGCCGAGGTTTGTTGAAGGGGTGTGAATACTTTGGACACATGGCTGCGACCTAGAAAGAAGTAGGTCGGCGGCCAGCAGAGACTCAGTGCGTCTCCAGGACGTGTTCAAACGTTGGTGGAACATGAATTAATGAAGGAATGAGTCCATGTAATACAAATGTCCTCCCAACCGTTGAAGTGTGAGTTCAGTTTATTTAGTGGCAGAAAACGTCAGAGAGCGACCGTTTCGATAATGAATGCTTCTGATTTATTAAATGGGTAAAAAAAAAAAAAAAAAAAACATGAAAAGAGAACAGTGTACATTACAGAAAAGATCAGCTTTTGGTCACATCGAAAGTACTCCCAGTACTGCATCAGAGTTGATAATTATATAATAATATAGATTTGTTTCCTCTGTTGTGTCTGTTTTCAGCCACTTAGAAACTTCACTTGAAGGCCTTGTTTTGTACATTTGTAAGCTCTTAATATTTAAAGTATACCTTTAATTTCTAGTCGTCACATCAGGAACAATATTAGTTGAAAATTTGATCCTCTAAAAAAAAAAAAAAACACGTCAGCATTAGTGTTTATCTACATTCAGTCAAAAATCAAGTCATTTTAACCTACTTATGTAAAGTGATGGGAAAAAGTATTTACGTCTTTACAGATTTCTTCTGTTTTTGCTTTTTAGTCACACTTAAAATTTTCCACAGACAAAGGCAAAGATAACATGAGTAAACAGAAAAAAAAAATGTTTTCAAATTATTATTTCACTCCAGGGGAAAGAAAAGGTACCCAAACCGCAGTCTTTGGGAAGCTGAGCTGAACTTCACCGGCCTCACTTCGCTGCAGAAGCTCGTGGAAAACGCAAATCAGTTCAAAATGGCCCGCCTGACAACAGGAAGTAGGTGAAAAGATTTCAAAACGGAACGCATCACGAGCATCTATCAGTCTGTAAAGTGTCACAAAGCCTTGGGACTTCAGTGGACCATTTCTGCAAATGGAGAAAACAGGAAGGCGATGAATCGTCCCAGTAACCTACCAACGGTACGCCATCGAGGATTCATCCAGGAGCTAACAAAGAAATACATAAAAACTGATGCAAAGGAGGCTGGACAATGGACAAAGAGAAACTCACCGCTATCCCAAAACAACACAAATGATATTTGTCAAAAACATCCTAAACGTTCCCAAAGAATCTTGGGAAAACATTTGGCGGGACGAAGGTGGAACTGTCTGAAGGTCCGGTTACAGCTGGCGTGAAACTGTCAACATTTCAGAAAAAGAATATTAGACCTACAGGCAAACGTGGTGGTGGTGGTGGTGGTAGTGTGATGGTTTGGGCTGCTTTTCTGCTTCAGGATCTGGATAATTTGCTGTAGTTGATGGAAAAACGAAGGTTTCTGTCTACCATAAAAGAAGAACGTCGGGCCATCAGTCTTTCACTTTAAGTTAAAAACATTTTGCAGCCGAACAACAATCCCCAGCTCACTAGCAACTTCTCCTCTGAATGACTCAAAATTTTCCTTTTGGAGTGCCCTAGTCAAAGTCTGGACCTAAATCCAAATAATTTGCTTGGAAAACCTCCAGTGTGGCTGAACTAAAAATGATTCTGCCACACAAGAGAGGGCAAACTTTCTCCACAACGATGTGGAAAAACTCACATCCAGTTAGTCTGAAAAGGAAATTCGTTTGATGATGTGAAGCGTTTAAGTGTGACAAAAAAAGAAAATAACAGAACAAATCTATAAGAGGATGGAAACCTTTTCACAGCACTGCGCATGTATCTTAATACTCACTTGAACAATGAGCTACTGGGGTATGTACAGTGTTTCACATCAGACACACCAGTAACAGACAAAACATAAAAAAATCTGAGTTAAGCAGGAAACTAAAGCTGAACTAAAACTCTGTACAGTTAATCTCTGAACAGCAATGAGTAACCCTTTATGTTTTATACACAGAAACAACTGTACAAATCATACAGTAATAAACTGGAAATTAAACACTTTTAAATTCGTAGTATTTTATCAACACATTTCTATACAGCTGTTTTATTCCCCTTTATCCAGCCACTAACATATTTCACATCAACTTACACGTAACATAATTTATGCACTTAATGACAAGCTCCGATGAATCTAAAACTCACATTCACTGTCAAAATTAATAATAGCCATAATCTTTTATGCTACGAGCTCGATACATCCCACTCTTTAGATTAGTAAACTTATTGCAGTTCTTTTACTTCTGGGCTTCAGCTGCTCAGAGAAGCTGTTTGAGGCCTGCAGGCGGGTTTCCATTCATAGCCGAGTGGAGAACAAAGTCGAGTACTGACTGCGTGGTCAGGATGCGACTCTGGTAAACAGGTCGGTACATTCTACTTACATCTGAATGCACAGACATGTGGCCAAAAACAGAAAGAAAGACAGAACAAAATAAATCAGTCCAGCACAGTGTGTTCTCCAGTTTTCATCCCTGAAACACACACACACACGCACACACACGCACGCACACCTCCGAGCGTCTCACCTGACTCCAGGTGAGACGGGATCTGTCAGCATGTCCGTGCGGATGGACAGGACTCGCTATGACGGCAAAGCGGCAACACATTCACACACTCACTTTGAAACGCGCTGCAGTTACGACACGGCTCTTCTGGACGTGCTGTAGCCCAGGTTGCCGCCGCCGCCGCCGCCGCTGCTCTTCTGCGTGATTCTGATCGTCGTGGCAACCGTCAGGCTCGGCGTCATGGCGGCGGGGAAGCTGGACGTCACGGCCGACGCGAAGCCGACCGTGGCGCCGAGGGCGGGGGCCGGCTCGCTGGGGCAGCCATGCTGCAGCAGGACGTCGATGCACTCCTGGCCGCCGGCGCCCTGAGCCAGAGCCAGCGCCGTCTGACCCTGAGCGTCCCGATGCCGCACGTCGCAGCCGTACTGCAGGGCGCAAACGGAGACAGTAGGTTAAAGTGGGACGGCTTACGTCTGACCAACACGACCTTACGGAAATAATGGCATCTCTGAAATCTCTGATTCTATGCGACAGATCAACACAAAGTAATTGCAAAGTAAAGGGAAAATGTGTTGTCAAAAATATTTACATGTGAAAGTCGGATGCTGCGCGCATCTGTGTTTACACCCTTTATTCTTACAACTTTAAATAAAACTCAATAAAAACTTTTTTTTTTCTTTTTGCTTTGCTATGGAGTGCTTTTCTGTAGCGGGGATGGAGAATCTGTGCAGAGTTGATGGGAAGATAAATGGAGAAAAATAGCCAGATATACTTTAAGAAAACGTCTCAGAAGCTGCAACAAACTTCAGGCTGGAGAGATTTGGCTTCCAGCAGAACAAGGACCCCAAAATTCACAGAGAAAGCTAAAATTAAAAGTTTTAATTCAAATATTTATGTGAGCAGTCTAGTTAAGGATGAGCTATTATGCTTCGTTGAACAGGTTTGGATATATGGGCTCTGCAAAAGATGGTCATTATAGTTTTTGCACAAAATCATTCTTAGATAATGAGATTTTGCCTATTTTGAGCTCCTCTCAGAACGAACTGTTTTAGGGCTTTTTGTCGCTTTAAATCCAAATAAGCTGCAGCTGGCCACGCCCCCAACTCAATATTTTCCTGAAAATGTCTGCAAACAGACGCACAATTATACAGCCGTACGTCTTTGAAAAGAATAAGTAGAGCTTCCTGCACAACCAACAAGAATGCAGCAAGTAATTTCTCTGCTTGGGTTACTAGGTAACATCACAGAGTCCGTCGATTGTGACTTAACAATCGGGAGGTTTTTGAAATGACTCATTCTCCAGACACCAAAAAACAATAACTTATTACAAGGAAATGGCCGGGCATTGTTTTTCAAACACTTGGATTGTTTTTAGAAGCAGTCGAGATCCAAGTCGAAGCATAAAAAATGTGCAAAATGCGACTTTTGCAGAATAGGTCCCCTGTAAATTTGAGGCCTATAGCCAACTGAGAATCTGTTACAAGATTTTATAAAAGAATGGGCATGAATTTCAGGCTCGAGATGTGCAAATCAGGTAGAGATACACCCTAAAAAAAACTCTCAGGCTTAACTAAAGCTAAAAGGTATTGAATGCTTTCTGATCTTTATCTGTATAAACATAAAAAGAAACATATCAGTTTACTTTCACTTCACAAATATGTGTTCATCATAAAAGAGAAATAAATAAACTTCACGTTTATGTTTTTAATGCGGTCCATAGGCGTATGAATACCTATTGCCGGTATTTTAAGTCAGACTTGTCAAAATAACAGCAGGACGACTAGAGGGGAAAGTGTAACACACCCAGACCAGAAGCTGCGTCATCACCACATCAGCCTGCTGACAAGCAGCATGCAGGGCAGAGCCAGGCAGGCGGAGCGCGAGCAGCGACCTGGAGGGGAGCGACAGGAAGGGCGGGGCGTTGATGTCCTCCTTAGTGCAGTGGGCCAAGAGAAGCAGCAGCTTGGGCAGATTGCGCTCCATCACTGCCAACAGAAGGCGGCCCGACATGCTGATGTCTGGGCCCTCGCTGGGTGTGGGAGGAGGCAACGGCGCCACAAACAGTTTCTGCTCATACTTGGCTCGGATCCACGACTCCCGCTCTTCTCTGAGAAGAAGAAAAAGAAAAAACAGGAGAAAGAGGTTAGTTGGTAGAAATGTTTTGCAAGTATTCAAGCAGTCGCTGATCTACCGTGTAGCGTCGGGCGCCGGCTTCCGGTGCCCTATCGTACGCGCCTCCCAGATGCTGTTGACCATGTGGTTGCCGATGGCGCTGAGGACCAGGGTGAGCTCTCTGGGCAGGTCGTCGAGGGCCAGCGAGCGGACCCGGGACAAGTGGGTGCCCAAGTTCCTGTGGATCCCAGAGCACTCGATGCAAATGAGAGCGCCCAGGTTCAGGCTGGCCCACGTCGGATCTTCAGCAGGGACGAGACACAAACAGCGAGTCAAACACCAGCTGAAGTAAAGATTTGAAGCGCTAGTATTTGAGTGACGCATGAATATTTCATACGGGAGTAAATTATAAAGACGGAGAGAAACCGGAGAAGTTTTGCTTACATTTTCTTTTCTTTTGCATCCTTCTGCATAAATTAGATTTTAATCAGTTCAGCGCATCTTTCATAACAAACACAACCGATTTGGCTAATAATCAGAAATAATGTGTTTTTTTTCTTCTCTTTTGTTAAATTGGGTCATTTTAATGAACTGAATAAGAACTGAAGTCAGATCATGTCAGCAGGATTCATTTGCTGGCCTTGAAACAAGAGGAACAGAGCAAAAAAGTGGGGGAAA